TGTAATTTTCTTATCCTTTTTCAATCACTGAAAGCCCCTGAATTCCTTGAAAATTCGTCTCCAAGAAACATGGAAGGTCGCCGTGGATGGTGTGGTGGTCATGTGTGATGAAGGGACCCCCGATGAATCCTGAGAATGGGTTATTTTGAAGTTCAAGTACTGTAGAATCCAACTCCAATCATGCCTACGTGTTTAAAAAGTGTGAAATTTTCAAAATTGATCGGGGGAGGGCCCCTGGACCTTCTTAGAGGGGTCCCCTAGGGTGCGTCAAAAAAAATGAAAGTCTGAAATGTTCCACTCCCCAGGCGGCAATCGATGACGTTTGGTTAAAAAAACATGTTTGCCAGAATTTGGGCCAATTTCAACCATTTTAAATGGTGCCAAAGGTCAATTTTGTGATGAAATTATGATATTTTGGTTTAGACCTCGATTTCGCACAAAAAACTCGATTTTACGCTGAAATCGTGCGTTTACGAGAAAAATGCCAAAGAACTCGACTTGTAGAGGATGAAATTTTACACTAGGAAGACGTCTTTGTAACCGATAAAAATCAAATTGAACTAGAAAAACTCAACTCGGTATTTATTTTTTTGGTCCTCAGAATTTCCGAGGTCTTAGAAAGTAGAGGTGTAAAAGACTCATTTTTCACGAAAATAAGTCGAAAGAGGGTGTAAATGAACTGTAGGCAAGTGTTGAGGATGCAANTACCTCACGCGTTCCGGAGAGTTCAAGTAGTTGTATCCCTGCGCCTTTGCAAGGCGATGGGAGTTTAATAATGAAGCAACGTCCCCGCTTGGTTTTATGGTTTTCCTGTGCCGCTACTGCAGTTTCAACCGTTAAGGCTGGAGTTTAATATAGCCGGGATTGTACTTCGCAAAAAGATAATTTTTGCAGAATAATTAAAAATTGGGAAGCAGGAATATTTGAACTAAATAATAAAAGGAACTTAAATCTAAAATATAATGCAAAACAATTTAGAAATCTCATCATGAAAATACAGAAGATTCGAAAACGCCTTCAAATGAGGCGCTATACCTCACGCATTCTGGAGTGTTCAAATAGTTGTATCCCTGCGCCTTAGCAAGGCGATGGTAGCTTAATATTGTAGTAGCGTCCCAGCGTCGTTTTTCGGTTTTCCTGTGCCGCTACTGTAGTTTCGACCGTTGAGGCCGTAAATTAAGTGTTTTAAAGCCAGGGTTGTATTTCGCGAAAAGATAATTTTTGCAGAATAATTAAAAATTCAGAAGCAGGAATATCTTAACTAATTATTAAAGGATCTCAAATCGACAATATAATGCAAACAAATTTGGAAAGACTCGTCATATAAATACATAAGATTCGTAAACGCCTTCAATTGAAGCGTGATACCTAACGCGTTCCGGAGAGTTCAAATAGTTGTATCCCTGCGCTTTAGCAAGGCGATGAGAGTGCAATATTGAAGTAGCGTCCCGGTTGGGTTTTTCGGCTTTCCTGTGCCGCCACTGCAGTTTCGACGTTAGAACCAGAGCTTAAAGGCGCCATAGCCGGGATTTTACTTCGCAAATAGATAATTTTTGCAGAATAATTACAAATTAAAAAGCAGGAATACCTAATTTAACTAATTAATAAAAGGAACTAAAATTTACAATATAATGAAAAAAACTAACGTAGTTTAAGGGCGCTGAAGCCAGGGTTGTATTTCGCAAATAGATAGTGTTTGCAGAATAATTAAAAATTAAGGAGCAGGAGTAATTTAACTAATTTATAATAGGAACTCAAATCTTCAATAAATTGCAAAAAAATTTGGAAAGTCTCGTCATGTAAATACAAACGATTCGAAAACACCTTCAAATGAGGCGTTTTATCTCTCGCGTTCCGGAGAAGTCAAATAGTTGTATCCCTGCGCCTTAGCAAGGCGATGGAAGATTAATTATGAAGTATCGTCCCCGCTCGGTTTTTCGGCTTTCCTGTGCCGCTTCTGTAGTTTCGACCGTTTAGGACGTGGTTTAAGGGCGCTAAAAGGCAGGATTGTTTTTCGCAATAAGAAAATTTTACAAGAATAAATAAAAATTAAGAAGCAGGAATAATTTAACGAATTAATAAAAGGAACGCAAATCGACAATATAATGCAAAAAAATTTGGAAAGTCTCGTCATGTAAATACAGAAGAAGTAACCCGCCTTCAATTGAAGCGTGATACCTCACGCATTCCGGAGAGTTCAAATAGTTGTATCCCTTCGCCTTAGTAAGGCGATGGAAGCTTAATATTGAAGTAGCGTTACCGCATTATGTTTCGGTTTTTCTGTGCCGCTACTGTAGTTTCGACTGTTAAGGCTGTAGTATAAGGGCGCTAAAGCCAGGGTTGTATTTCGCAAGTGGATAGTTTTTGCAGAATAATCAAAAATTAAAGAGCAGTAGTAATTTAACTAAATAATAAAAGGAACTCAAATCTTCAATAAAATGCAAAATAATTTGGAAAATCTCGTCATGTCTATACATAAGATGCAAAAACGCCTTCAATTGAGGCGTGATACCTCACACGATCCGGAGAGTTCAAATAGTTGTATCCCTGCGCCTTAGGAAGGCGATGGAAGTTTGATATTGAAGTAGTGTCCCCGCTTGGTTTTTCGGCTTTCTTGTGCCGCAGGGGCGGACTTGCCATGGGGGCGGGGAGGCGATCGCCCCCTAACAATTTGCCGGCGAATTTTTTTCGAGTCATCGTTTTTTTCCCGTGATGTTGTAATTTTCTTATCCTTTTTCAATCACTAGAAGCCCCTGAATTCCTTGAAAATTTGTCTCAAAGAAACATGGAAGGTCGCCGAAAGCATGTGTGATGAAGGGACCCCCGATGAATCCTGAAAATGGGTTATTTTGAAGTTCAAGTACTGTAGAATCCAACTCCAATAATGCCGACGTGTTTAAAAAGTGTGAAATTTTCAAAATTGACCGGGGAACGGACCTCGGACCTTCTTAGAGGGGTCCCCGAACGACAGGAGGGGTCCTTACATTTAGGTGTTCTCCTAACTTTTCGACTACCAGTCCGCCCCTGGTCTGAAACGAGTGTTTCTGGGCAGTTTTTCATTGTTTCTGCCAGGCTTCTTCCGCGGATAGCGACAAGCAGCGGACTCGAGGAGCTTTCCCGACCGGAAAATCGCACTCAGCGGGTCATTTGAAAGCGAACATGGTTTCGGCCCGGTTGGCGAACTTTCGATTTTGACCCTTATAATTTAGTCCATGTAACCCCTGTCAATGTTTCTCGATTCCGGTCAAGAGAAAAAATTCCGAGATTTCAGTTGGATCCTACGTAGATGAAGGCGCTGGACGGATTGCGCACAATCCCGCGGCTTGGCGGGGCTTCCTGAGCCGAGAAACAGCGAAAAACTGGTGTGAAACGAGTGTTTCTGGCCAGTTTTTCACTGTATGTGCCAGGCGTTTTCCGCGGATAGCGCCAAGCAGCGGACTCGAGGGGCTTTTCAATATTGGTATCGGTCCGATCAAAGAACTTCCGATTTTGATCCCTATAACTCAGTCCATGCCCCATATTGATTTTCGACAAGAAAACAGTCTCAAGATTCACTTCTCCTTAGTTCGAGGCGCTGAATCGATTGCGCGTAGGCCCGAAACTGCCCGCGCCTTCCTCAGCCGAGAAACGGTCAATAGGAACGATACATGGAGTAATTAACTATCGGTTCTCGAGCAATAAGGTTGACGTGAACAAAGGATCAAGCACACTCCATATGGTAATCGGTGCCCACACGACTTATACAATTTTCTTGCGCATTGAACTCGATTTTGAATTGATCCTGTTCAAAAGTCATATATGCGCCAAGTGTCTTCAAGCCTCCGTTTTCGCATAGTTTGCAGTTGAAGTTTTTGANTGAAACGAGTGTTTCTGGGCAGTTTTTCATTGTTTCTGCCAGGCTTCTTCCGCGGATAGCGCCAAGCAGCGGACTCGAGGAGCTTTTCAATATTGGTATCAGTCCGATCAAAGAACTTCCGATTTTGATCCCTATAACTCAGTCCATGCCCAATATCGATTTTCGACAAGAAAACAGTCTCAAGATTCACTTCTCCTTAGTTCGAGGCGCTGAATCGATTGCGCGTAGGCCCGAAACTGCCCGCGCCTTCCTCAGCCGAGAAACGGTCAATAGGAACGACACATGGAGTAATTAACTATCGGTTCTCGAGCAATAAGGTTGACGTGAACAAAGGATCAAGCACACTCCATATGGTAATCGGTGCCCACACGACTTATACAATTTTCTTGTGCATTGAACTCGATTTTGAATTGATCCTGTTCAAAAGTCATATATGCGCCAAGTGTCTTCAAGCCTCCGTTTTCGCATAGTTTGCAGTTGAAGTTTTTGAACACTTACATATTAAATGGTGCCAGCCAGCGCATTGGAAAAAAAGTCGCTTGGATCTAGAGTACGGACTCTTAAAAACATTGACAAGAAAAAAGACTCGTGATTCGATCGGATTTTCGCTTGAATCGAGAACCAAGCCTCTTAATTTAAGCGACTTTCCTTTTGATTCAGGCAAAAATTCGATTGAATCAAGAGTATTTTTCTGATCATTGTTTTCAAGAGTCTGAACCCTAGATCCAAGCGACTTTTTTTTTCCGTGCAGCCTGATTTTTGAAATTTATGTCGGCACGACAAGATAGAAAATCGATATTACACGGCGCAGATAAGGCTGTGTCTTGTCTTACAAAGCCTTGATCTAGCCGGTTAACGTTTCAACAATCAGGTTGTCAACCCAGCGAAGAAAAGCCGAAGAGATTCGTCTTTCTCTTATTAGCACTCGAGAACGAACCCACCCCCCTCCTTTACGGGTGAAAACAAATAACGACAGGCAAGCGGGCATTTGGTCAGAAATAAGAGTTGAAGGGAGAATAAGAAGAGTAGAGAGAGATAGATAGGAGGACAGGCCCCTTCTTATTTTTAGCAAATCGATGATCCTCTTTGCGGAAACGGATTTTCTTTTGTGTGCTTGTGCCGCTTATACCTGGGAAACCCAAAAAGAAGGGATGTATTCAAATTGAAGCCATATTCTTATCTTAGGGGGAAACAGGTTGAAAAACTCGAGTGCTCGGAGCTTCTTACGGTTCGACCAGTCGTCATTGGCAGCCGTTGCTGTAAGAGTGAGTGTAGTGGATAAGGAAATTCGAAGACCTAATATATATAGATTTCTGAACTTAAAATTATGAGAGCATTGTGAAATGTACTTTGTTATGCCTACGGAAATGATATCTCCAATCCGCCTGCAAAGAACGTGTAATTGAATTCAGTTTTGTTGTGTGTTATTTTAATAATTCCTTCCATCAAACTTTCCCGCGAATGAAAACTGACGAGATCAATTGAACCACCTTGCCCTCTGCTAATTTTCTGCCTGCCAAAAGCTCACACCAAACGCTCGGAGCTGGAGAATACCCTACATGAAGATATTGCGTCTATATGGTAAGAATTAATTGTTGCATCACTGTTTTAGAAATAAGGGCTTGGAGAACAAGGCGCATACGTGTGCTTTTTGAAAAAATTGAGATTTTAATGATTTCAAGTAAAACTAGTATTAACGCACATTCTGTGAGAAATTCTCTCACAAATTCCAATTTTTAAACTTCAAAAAGTCAGTTCAAACTTCATTTCCACCGTGAGGATCCATGTAATTTCAAAACTTTGAACACGTATTTCTCGAAATAGCAAAAAATGTACTTATGTGGCTTGTCCTCCAAGCCCCTCAATTTTACTTGTCCCCAAGTTGCGACGTCTATTTTGATAGCTTTTAAAACGACTCTGTAAAACCCTTTGAGTCCTTACAAAACCTGTTGAAGTTTTTGTTACAAGATACCCCTCTCGGATACTTTTCAAAATTTACTTTTTTTTTTACGTGGTGGAGTTTAAGGAAAACCAGTCCGCTGACTATACCCAATCGAGGTCTGAATCCTCGTGGCAACGGATTATCTTTGTTTCTAGAATTTTAAATGATTATTTCTAGAATCTAAAATTCACCAGGGAATGTTTGAATTCAAGATTGCCAAAACAACTCTATGGATCTATCATAGTTTTTCAAACCTGAAAGGTTTGAAACTAGTGGTAAGAACTATTAAAATACAGTAATTTTTCTTGAAGACTTTTTTGGCGTCGTGTCTCGCTAAAGAAAAACGCCGTATGAACCCTCGGAAGTTGATAAACTGACTTTGATTTTCCAATTCTTTTGAAAGTGAGGGGGCAGCGCCCCTCGATTGCTTCGCGGTCCAATCACCCCCCCCCCCTCCTAGCGCAGCGCTCTGCGCCTCAGTTATTATGCGCGACGCTTAACTTCTATGATTTTCACATTGTAGAGAATGATTTTAGATACATTCTTAATCTGGAGTATTTGTAAAAATCCAAAAGAAAAAAAAATCATTGAATTTCGTTCGAAATCATTTTTGAGCAACAGAGGCGGATCGCCCCGCCCCCTCATATTAGACTGAAAATATAATTTTTTTAAGGATATTTTTCAATGGTTTGACAGAAATTTCGCAGATCTGTTGTAATAGATCTGCTCCCCCTCCTTTCCAGCAAAGTTACTCTCTTCCGCACAATTTTACTTTATCTACCCTCTTGGATTACACTGGAAAAAAAAACACATTGGATCTAGAATCCAGATTCTTGAAAACATTGACAAGAAAAAATACGCTTGATTCAATCGGATTTTTGCTCGAATCAAAACGAAATCCGCTTAAATTAAGAGGCTTGGTTCTTGATTTAAGGTAGATTCTGATTGAATCAGGAGTACTTTTTCTTGTCGATGTTTTTAAGAGTCTGGACAATGTGTTTTTTTTTTTTTTTTCAGTGTAGATTGCAATAGCGTCCTTGTTTGCTGTTCTTGCGCCATGATGAAACCACCATAGTCACCAGTGACCACGTATCTCATTTGCAGTGTTCAAAAATCTCCGCTTCCAATGCTCCAATGTTGTTTTTTGGACGGAGAACAAATCAATATCATTTCTCGAATGCTTCAAAGAGTTTTCGTAGGCACAGAGGAGAAAAATCACGGGAAACATCAAGAATTGACGTTGAGTAGTTTTCCATTTAAAAAATCAAGTATAACAGGAAGTCTTCAACGTCTCGAAGCGAGACACGTGGCTTGGCAGATTCACCATCGATGCGTTTTGTCATCATCACTTTGAGCACACCCGGGCCTTCCCTCTTTTGTATTATCCACTCCCCTTCCTTTTGCGAGTTTCGATAAGAGAATTTCCTCCGACAACTCGAGCCTTGCCGCCAGCCGGTCGCCGCCGACCGAAATTCAGCCGAGCGGATGTCGGCGTATCTGAAATGATTCTGAACCCGCAGTGACCACCCCCCTTTGATAGTCCCCTCCCTAAGACTGATTGAAGACGCTACGTGAAGCTTCGTGCGACGTGTATCAGTCGGAGGCGTCAGACCGAGAGAGACGGTAGTTCATTCGACGCTTATGAGTTTGAGGAGCTGATTCTTCTGACAAGTTCGATAGTTTTTCGCCGCTCCTACGAAAACGCTCGTATAACTCTGAAACGCTTTTTTCTGGCTAATTCTACATTGAGTTTCCGGTGGCCTTTTTTCCAGTGATACTTTCGTGATATTTGGTCGGAGGATGTCGTTTTGGAAGTCATTCTGCCCTACGTGCTGTATACCCTTCAGCAGTTCTAATTTGGTGAGTCAGCTGCTTATGTATCACTGAACATTATTACTCATCGAGGGAGATGTGATTGAGTGAAGCATATTTGAGAGTACCTAGGAGGCGATTGTTCACTTTGATTTTCCTCGATTTTTTTTTAAAGGTGATTCGACGGACGCCATATTTTGTGTCCGAACGGCATGCGATATATCGCATCAATTGGTTCCATTTTTTCAGCTACTCGTCATTTTTCTCCAATTTTGAGATCGCAATTCTGTTGTCAGGAGACTAAAGCACTCGCCAATTTTAATAAAGAAATTCAACGTAACAAAGGCGTGGTATTTTTAAGAGAGAAAACATCGCATTCGATACTGATATAATAACTGCACTCAAATGCGATATTTTCTCTCTAAAAAACCACGACTTTATTGCGTTGACTTTCTTTGTTGAAATTGGTAAGTGAGTGCTTTAGTCTCCTGACAGCACAATATTGCGATCTCAAAATTCGAGAAAAATGACGAGTAGCTAAAAAAATGGAACCAATTGATGCGATATATCGCATGCCGTTTTGACACAAAATATGGCGCCCATCGAATCACCTTAAGCACAAAGGAACCAAGGCACACCAGTAACTGCGAAATTAGGGAAATGTCGCATTTTTTACATGAAAAGGGTTGTGCGGATTTGGTGCCAGTGAATTTCTGCTTAGTGCGAAGTTAACTCCTTGAAATTTTCGAGGGAATGCGCACAAATGTTTTCTCGTAAAAATTAAACCGCCCAGTTAAATTTGGCAATAGCTGATGTGGCTTGGTTCCTTTCTGCTAGACGCGGTTCATCTCTCCCTTCTCCGTGAATTTCTGCATAGTGCGAAGTAAATTCCTTAAAATTTTCGAAGGAATGCGCACAAACATTTTCTTGTGTAAAATTAAATAGCCCTGTTTAATTTGGATTTCATTTTGCAATTTGGACCTATAGATTCTAGCCCAATTCAAAAACAACGTATGTGCCATTAGTTTCCCTATGTACATAAGTGTTTTTTCAGATGAGCCAGAATTTATAGGTCCAAATTGCAAAATGCAGTCCATTCGGCAATAGCTGATTTGGCTTGGTTCCTTTCTGCTAGACGCGGTTCATCTCTCCCCACTCCGTCTATCTCCCAGAGGGAGAGCGAGAAAGAATATGATTTGGACGGTCGAGCGAAAAGGCATGGGAATCCTAGATAAGACTGCCGCTCGGCAGTAAACCTAACCGCGCTGGGGTTTTTTTCCTGTTTCTGTCTCTTTTGCACCCGGCCCTTTTTGTACTACCAATTTCCTTTTTCATCCGAGTCTCGACGAGAGAATTTTCTCCGAGCCCGCCGTCCTGTCGCCAGACAGAGATTCGCCGAGCGGATGTCGGCAGCCCCCTACCACCCCACCAGAGACTGGTCGGAGACATTACGTGAAACGAACGACGACAGTCTAGTGTGTGAAATCGAAGGTGACGGTTCAGTTCCATCCAGTAGCCTGTGATTTTCAGGAATCTAATTTTCTGTCAAGTTCGGTGGTCCCTCGTCCCGCTAGGAAAGGAGCATGCGATTTTGATACTCATTTTTTATGTTTTTGTGGTCAAAATCGGTAATTGCCTAAGTTTCATAATGTGTGGAGTTACTATTTTGTATTATGTGTCCGTTGGCATTGTATGAGTTTTCGGTAGCCCTTTTTCCCGTGATACTTACGAGATATTTGGTTTGAGGATGTCGTTCTGGCAACCGTTTTGCTCTTACAGATATACCCTTCGGTGGTGTTGATTTGGTAAGTCACTTGCTCAAATCATCGAAGATTTTACTTTAGTTCCGTATCGACGATGAAACTTCCACGACAACGACCTCTTACATCTTTTATTTAATTGCGATGTTGCAAACTTCTTTTCATACTTTTTTTATAAGCAAAACTACTAACGTTAATTCTTGAAAACTTCGTGCTTTTTCTCCTCAGTGCGAAGAAAACTCTGCAAAAATTTCAAGAAATGATATTGATTTGTTCTCCTTCAAAACAATAAAATGGACTGCATTTTGCAATTTGGAACTATAAATTCCGTCCCGGTTTAAAAACAACGTATGTGCCATTAGTTTCCCTATACACATACGTGTTTTTTCAGATGAGCCAGAATTTATAGCTCCAAATTGCAAAATGCAGTCCAAATAGAAGCAGAGATTTTCAAACGCAGGAACAGTATCTGACTTGATTATTTTTATTCCCTAGAGATTTTTTTAATCCTGTGAGTTTCATAGTCGGTGGAGAGCTACTATTTTGTTACTCGTGTCGGTTATCATTGTGTGAGTTTTATTTTCCATTGATTCTTTCATTATACAGGGTGTCTCACGAAAAACGAGCCACCTTGAATATCTGCCGAATGCGTCGGAATTTCGAAAAACGGTAAAAGACGTGTTCGTTTATATCGAGGGGGACACCTTTTGGCGTATTCGAAATTTTCCCAAACCGCGGGAGGGGCGCGGGGCGGGGGAGGCCCCACCCGTAAGTCGAACTTTTCAAATGGCACCCCTACTTTTTTATTTCAGAAATCAATTCTACGCAAAAAAACAAGCCACCTTGTCCAAACCGAATGTAAATCGGACAATTTTTCAGTGATTGA